TTTTTGGTTCTTAGATAAAGTCCAGGCTGCTGGAGAGCCACGGTTCCTGCAGGGCGACGTGTAACATGAAACCTTCCCAGGTTATTTTAGACCTAGCACGTTGGCACCCTGGGAACGGTGGCCGAGAGCCCAGCTTGTTGGGTTCACTGGTGAAAGTTACCGGGGAATCCTTAGGAAGCAGGCAAAGCGGGGGAAAAAGAGAGAGAGAGAGGGAAAAAAAAGATGCAGAGCAGTTTTAGCACTCTCCTAAAGCCACCCCAATGCCTCTGCTCCGCTTCTTCATTGTCAGAGAGCGATGCAAGGAATATGCCCTCTGTCCTGAGGACCCAGTGCATTTGTGGCACATTCCTCCTCGCCCCCCTCCCCCAGCTCATTAGCCTCGGAGTGTTGGATATTGAGAGCACGTTTCTGGGGCCGTGGGCGCACTTCCATGGCATCGCGGATTTTCTCTGACTTACAAGTGAACTTCACAGAATTGCACTGTTTTGCCCAGGAGTCGTACTGGGGAGGGGGGGAGGGTTGTACTGGGGTGGCACTTATTTTTAATAATCCCATTTTAAGACGTTTACTTCCAGTGTTGGCTAATGATTCTCCTCCTCTCCCCTTCTCTCGAGTTTATGTTTGCCTGGACTGTCGTATCTCTTTTTCGGGAAGTTAAACTTTTAGCAGGACCATTCTGATGCTGCTTTGCATTCGAGGGCAATAAATTCCGGAGCAAATGGCAAAGCCTCTTCCATGATCTTTAGCTGATGTCCATAATTATACTTAAATTACAGCCCCTCTGTAGCCACAGCCATGGCAATAGAGTGTGTCTGTGTAAACACACCCGCCTATGCGTGCACACACACACGCACACGCACGCAACACATGCGTGCAGCTCCCCGTGTCGCACACGTGTGCGTGTGTGTGTGCGTGTGCGCACAGGCTCCCAACGCGCAGAAGGGATCGCTCAGCGATTCATACGGGTGCTGCCTACTTCACTTTCCCTTAGGTCCACCTTAAAGCCTCTTTGTAATCCCAGTTACCCCACCACCGTCAGCACGCTGCACATCCGCATTTCCAGCTGGTCAGGCAGGAAAAAAAAAAAGGAAAAGAG